GTTGATGAAGGGATGTTAGGAAGTAATGAAATCTGACCGTTGATTGTAGATGACATGTCAGGGAGTTAGTTTTATTTCTGTTACAGTGCACCTGCAAAATACATGCAGTTTGCATGTATATATAAAACACTTTACGCATGTATCATGTACGATCATTATCAATAATACATATCTGAGTTTTCTCTCTCTTTTGCTCTGTTTTTCCTGTGTTTTCTGTTAGTGTTCCATCGCGGAAAAAAAAAAGGCAATTATTTATAATTTTATTTATTAAATATGAAATGTATATATAAAATTGTTAAATCAAATTGTTATAAAATAACTTTTGCCACTCTTTTAAATTATTGACAAGATACTTTTGTTACTTTTAATATTAACAAAAAAATTATATAAGGTCTCAAAATTTAATGACTTAAATTTTTGTAATTACACTTTTCACGTTTTTGACAAAAATATTTCTGTCGCTATTATCAAAATTTGATAAATATATTTTATTAGGATTTTAATTTTCGCATAAATCATTTTTTCACTTGAATATTCTTTTCATGAAAAAGATTCGTCACACTTCATAAGTATAGACATGAATATTTTTATCATTATTGAGATTAAAAAAAAAATATTTGTCACGTCTATATTATTTTGACAATAAAAAATTTGTCAAGTAAAAATATTTGTATAAAAAATTATTTGTCATGCTATTAAATTTTTTACAAAATTATTTCCGTCACTATACAATTTTTGACAAATACTATTGTTATATAAATAAACATGTGACAAAATAAAATTTTGTCACTATTCAAACTATGAGCAAATAATTTAGTCACTATTCACAATTATGACTTTGTCATAATATATGATTTTCTCACCATAAAGTTTATCATTTGGTCTTTTAATATAAATCAATTTTGACAAAATATTACTTGTAGTGATAAAAAATATCTTCTATTGTTACAAATAATTTATCACAATAAACTAGTTTAAAGTGACAAATTATTATTATCACAATAAATAATTAGGCTATGGTGACCAAATACTCTTACGTCTCCATATACTTAAGAGTATGAGCTTAATGTGACCAACGTAGTAACTAATATAATTCTTCACATTAGCAAAATTGTCACAATTTTGATATTTATAGAGACAAATTATTTTGTTGTGAGAAGCCTAAATTCTTGTAGTGTGCATCTTGAAAGAACTCATCTCCCAGGTTGCAACTTGGAGCTCTGATACCACTTGTTAGGAGATCTCATAGCGGAACATATGCATTCGAGATTAATAACATAAGAATCAATCATACTACATAAAGAGATATGATATTTATATGGTTTGTCATAACCCGCATACATCCACAGATGAGAGAAATCCACTATAATTTCATGAACATAATATACAAGAGTACACAACACCATAAACCCGGTATATAAACAAAGCAGAAACATGCTAGTTTCTAATCACGCTCAATCCAATACCTAGAGTGGAAACAATCTCAATTTCTAAGACACTCTCCTCATGGTGTTTAATAACCCTTACATCAAATACCCTATGTTCTTACATTGTCTCATAACATTGAATTGGTTTTCACCCCTATATTTATAAGTAGGATTAGGGGTAGATCCATCCCCTTAGAGGGTAAACCTCATATTTTTTTAAAAATTATTAATATATAGACCTACAAAAAAGTGTTATTAATATATATACCTAGGCCTACCTTTAGATTTTTTTTTTTAAATGAGAACTATTATAGGGGTGTTTGTCTAAGCTTATAAGCTGGTCAAACTAGTTTATAAGCTCTAAAATTAAATTGACTTGTTTGTTTATAACTTTTTTGAGCTTATAAGTTGAGCTTATAAGCAAAAAAATAAAAAATAAAATAAGTTGGGGGAGGTACTTTTTTTTTGGTTGCTTATAAGTACTCTGCTTATAAGTTAGTTTGACAAAGTATATTACCACATTATCCTTGTTTAATTTTAAAATTTCATAGTATACCCTTATTTAATGTAGTACTATTTTTAGTTATTTTATAATAAAATGTATTTATAAGCCACATTTTACCAAACACGTCAACTACTTATCAGTCACTTATAAGTACTTTAACCAAACACGTAATTACTTAAAATTTCAAATGTTTATAAGCTAAAATCAGCTTATAAGCACTTGTAATTTTCATAAGCTCAGACAAACACCCCCTATATATATAAAAAAAAAAAAAAAAACTTGTTATTAATATATATATTCCAAACCCACATCATATTAAAAGTTTAAAACTTTCTTCACTCTTCTTCTCCCCGGCTCCATTTGTTTTTTATGATTTTATCCTAAAATTCTTTACTCTCTCATCCTCTTTTTCTCTTTCTCATGTTGTTCATTCTTAAAATTTTTGAAGACTAAAATTGTTGAAGCTTTCATTACTCAGGTGCCACAATTAGCTTTGTTTTCTGTTTTATCAGTTTTAGGTATGCGTATTGCTTATTTCAATTTAGTTTATTTTAGGGTTGAATCATGTTTTTTTCTTTTTTGGAGGTTTATTATTCTAATTTGAGGGAAAAAGACATAGATATTGTAAGTTTATTTTGTGTTTTGTGTCTAAGAATGTTCCTACTTTCCCAAATTAAAACCTTAACTATATTTTAAAGAGCGTTATTCCTCACCCTTCACCCACTACTTTCTTACATTTCAAACGCCACCGTTCAGCTACTCAAAATTATTAAAGAAATTTGAGTTACTATTTATATTTATACCAAGAAAATTCCCTCTTTTTCTATAAATTCATATTAAAAGTCAACGCAACATTAACTTGATTTAAGTTTTGGTTGACATTTATTCAAAATTTTGCTTCTCATAGATTTATTCAAGTAGGAAAGCATTATGTTATTGCATTCTTTTCTTTCAAGTTCTTGATATTATATTATTTTTTTTGCTGTAAAAATCCTGGGTCCGCCATTGGGTAGGATACGAGATATTCTAATTCCAATAGAATTCATATTTCAATTCCTAATACGACTCCTAAATTCTATTCCTATTTACAATTGTATTCTTTATTAAATAGTTTTCTTAAAGATATACAATTTTACATAGGAACAAATAGGAAAGTGAGCCACAATATCCCAACAAAAGAACACTCCAACAGAAGATTGGAGGAAGAACCACTCCAACAGGAAGATTGGAGGGGGTAAGAATCAACATGTTTGGCAGCAAGATCGGCTGCAAGTTTGGCTTGAAAAACCATAAAGTGAAGATCATGCTTTGAAGTTCACTATCAAAAAAGATTCAAGGAGTGTTGAAGTTTGAATCCTTTTGGTAGAAGAGGAACACACGATGAAGAAGACATGGCCAAAGAATTTTGGGTTTAGATAAAACTGAAATGCAATTTATTTAAAATTATGAATTTGAATTTCTCTTTATTGCTGTTAATCAGTTAAGTGTAGTTATTTAGTTTTATTCCTTTAAAATTATAAAAAGGGAAATGTATTATGTATGATTAAGAAAAATGAATATATAATTTTTTTCTTCCTCTCCCAAAGTTACAACAGTTTCATCATCCCAATCCTTATTCTTTTTCATAGCCTCTAAGAGAAAAATATCTTCTCTATAGCTTTGCTTGCTTCCCAATACATATTTCTAAGATTTAACCCAAGAAAGCTCTGTCTGAAGTTGACATATATGTGCCTTGCACGATGCCTTATAGGTGAGTTTGGCCAATGCTCTTTTAGAGCTGAATGAGACCCTTCTGTCTATCACTCATGAAAGTGATAGGGTTATCATTATCATCACCTAAGTATCCACGCAATAATTCAAGAAGCCAGCCCCAACTACGTGAATTCTCAACCTCACAAATGGAAACTGCAACTGGGAACAGATTGTTTAGATCCAAGGTTACTGTTGATATTAGAACACCTCGGTAAGGACCTTTGAGATGAGTACCATTCAAGCCAATAATTCCCTTACAACCCTTGAGAAATCCATTCCTTTGAGCAGGGAAACTCATGAAGAATCTGTTAAATCTTGGGGAATTATCATTTGAGGAAGTGATTGTATGAACCATTGCGATTGCTCGAGGATTAGTAGTTTTAACTTCAACAATGAGTTCGTCTATAAGGGGCGATGCACACAAGAGTCCCGTTCTATTGAGTGATATAGAAAACATTATTCTCTTGTATGAATGATATAGAAAATCATAACAAATACATTAATTGTAATGAAAGAGGTGGGGCAATATTAAAATAGTATTGATTTTGTTAGACGTAGCCCGGATTTGGATGAACTAGGATAAATCGCCCGTGTTTTTTTCTCTTTACTAGTTCTGTATTTGTGTGTGATTAGTTTTAGTTTGATTCTAAATGCTCTCTAGTTCTTTCAGTTAGATGATTGATGGGAATTAGTAGTCAAAACTTTTTATTTGAAGATCAGATATTTAAGGCAGGGAGGGGCTAAGGCAAGCATCAGTGAGTACACGAAATCCCTTCCTCTAGAAAGAGGTCCCCTTCCCTGTAGTAGCTCTTCTGTTATGAGAGAAACGGGCTAGAACCTCTATATGCCAATTTCATAAGTAACGGAAACCACTATTTAGTTTGCTACTGTGATACCAGCTTAGAGCATCACCAACAATTCCCCTCTTTATCTACCACCCACTTTTAACAGCTCAGCCGCTACCATCATCAACATTGTTGTGATTGTTGGTGATGGTAGCGGAAGAGCCGAATAAAGTGGCCTAACTCACACTGCGAGTTCTTCCAGGCTCACCGTAGAGGGATTTGGTTTGATGAGATGAGATGAGATAGAATTATATATGCTTTATTGGTTATCCTTTCTCTTGCTTTACAACCATCCTATTTTCTCTTCCTTTTAGTAGCATTAACATGCGAGATTAGCTTGATTGAATTCACACTTGGAAAACATCCATTTAGTAACATTAACCTGCGAGATAATAGCTAGATTGAATTGTTGTTTGAGCTACAGGAATTACCAACAGAAGATTCCAAGTAAATGCCTCTCTGAAACACTTTGAAGATTCCAATGTGTACTTACATGAATATATAATAAAATTGAATCATAAATTGAACAAGAGACCACTGATCAATGGAAGCTGGTGTATTGCTCAGGAAAATATGCTAACTAATTAAAAAGACTCCTAATTAATTAGGAGCCTTAAAATTTTTTTACAAAGGTTAAACCAAATAATTAAGAAAATATTTTTAGGCATTAACAATCCTTCACCAAAGATTTATGAATTCCTTTTCTTACTCTGTCTTCTTCTCTCAGCAAACCCTTCACAGTTTTTCATTATCCAAAACCTCTCTATCTCTTCTGCTTTGCGTCCTGGTATTCGTCCAGCTATCAAATCCCACCTGAAAAAGTATTCATATTTTTTATTTTTTTACTTAATTTTTGACATCATTTAATAAAACTTAATTTCATTTAAATAAATCTAATACTAATGCTACTTATGTTTCTTCAATTTTGATATACCAAATTTGATTAATATGCAAATACCAGTCCTTGTGTAGAGTTATTAATTTCATGTGTCTTATACTGTGACACTGAAAATTGATATGGACAATCCATTACTGCATTAATTTCAAGCCACACTTGAGTCTTAACCCAGAGAACTGCCATTAAATGTTCTTGTTCAAAGTACAGACTACAGATATATGAGGCTAGCAATGCAGTAGATTCAAAGACAATCAAGAAAAGTAATACCAAAGTTTTAAAGTGAAATAATAATTTAAATGAGATAGAATCTTTGTAGATAGCAGACATGAGTGATTTCATTTCAGAGTAAATCACAAGGAACCATCAGCTTGGGGGGTCTACCACCAAATATGGAAACTACAGTCTAAAGTTTCTGGTGGCCACTAGCCAGAGTCTTATTGTTATTATTGTAATTGAATGAAACATGTGATCAGTTATAGACAACACAACTTAAATTAAGCCTTATTGGTATTCATTTACAAATTGGGGTCTATCACCTATTAATCAAAGAAAAAAATCAATGCATTATATGATTAAGACCCAGAAAGTACATGGCTCTTCTGCGTGTTTTAAATACAGTTTAATCTAATTCTATATATCTGATACAATAAAGCAAAAGGATCACAAACACAGCACAGAGATGAAGAAGAAGATCATGAACGAAGATATATACATATATAATGGGAATGGGGTCTAATGATTAATATGTAATTAAGTTTAATGGTTAATTTGCCACCTATCTCCAACGAGTCTACGCATTCTGTAGATGAGATCTTCTTCTTGTTCAGTCACGTTAATGAATTCCCATTCAATACTACTAACCTCTGCCAAACAGAGAAAATTTAAAGCTATTATAAACATAACAAACCCAAGGAGACAAACAACAAAAAGCTGATCGAACCCATATTCTAAAAGAACAAATTTGACAACTATAAAACCTTCTCTTTCTTTCTTACCTTCAGACTCAAAGACTGATGTTTTGGCCTGCTTCCGTCGACGTTTGCTCGTAGTTTCCATCGAAAGAAATCTAGTGAAAGTGCTTTGGAAAAGGAGTAGTGAGATATAAAAAGTCCGTGTTTTAAATTGTAGCCCCAAAATAAGAGTACTGTATATGTTGATAGAATAGATCGCAACACATACCTGATACAACTAGCCAAATTGGGCATTTTGGTAAGTTCATCTTTTTTGTCATAACTTGGTAATTTAAATCCACATTTTTTTTTTCTTCAACTTGACCTGTCCTCGTCCAAGTACTAACCAACTCCATTATGTATTTCTTGTTTTGCAAGTACAGAGAAATATTTAGCTTCACACAGAACATTCTTGTCCTTTCTGTAGCTTTCATTTCAAGTGTATGCTCGATGGAACCCCGGTTGCTTTATAAGCTGGCCGTGGTCCCTGTTGTAACTTTTTGCAAGCGCGAAGCAGCCAAGAAAATTCCTGGAAAACACTTGTCAATAATGGAACAAAACGGCAAGCTTCAAGAAATGTGACGCCATGACCTTTCAAGATCTAGATATATCATATATCCCTTATAAATGCAAGATTCTCACTTCAATTACCAAAAGGGTCAGCTTGGAGCTTGCACTGTGGACCTTTCAATATTTCATTGGGGTGTTTTCTGGTGTTTTACTATTCAAATATGATCATTATAATAGAGAAAACTAAATCGGGTTAATACATTATCTTTAGACTTAGGCTTATTATATAAAATTAAACAAAACACAGAGCAGTTGTTTTATAATACAAATCTGGAAGTACTTCAACAACTGACATTCTTGTTGCAAAATTGAGATGCTTGGTGTTCGTGGGGGAGTGCTCTACCCCATTTTTATCTTTAGTTTTGAATAAGAGGACAAAAATCTCCTTGTTTTATCTTCTGTAACTTTGAAAATAAACCTTCTGAATAGAGATGATAATGGGTCAGATATTTTCAGATACCTGACATGAACAGTCTTAAAAAGGTCGGGCTTTACCCAGTGTTTAAGGGTATGAGCTTGGGACTGGGCCTGATTTTAAAGCTTGACCTCCGATATGGGTTGGGCTTGGGTATATCTTCCAACCCTATAATTTTAGTATTAATTTTACTAAATTACCCTTATACTATATATTTAATTACAAGATTATCCTACATATATATACCCATTGTTCCCAAACCCTAATCTCATCCCATTTGGTAAGTGTTCAAAAATAAATTAATATTCAAAAATTGTTTGTAGAATTAAAAATTAAAAAAAATTGAAATTTATTAATATTTAAAAATTCAGATTATAAAAATGGGCGGGCTTGGGCCGGGCCTGAGGTTACAAAAAGTTCGTCGAGTCAGGCTTTGGCTTTACTTGTCATACCTGTGATGGGCCCGAGCCGGGCTTGGGCCTTTGTCATGAGGTCGGGCTTGGGCCTGGGCCAAGGGGTACCCGATCCCAGCCTTGATACATTTACAAGTCCTAAAACACTTATAAACATGAGTGGACAAGGAATTATAAGTCCTAAAACACTTACTAATTCAATTGAATTAAAGAATTTCACTTCAAAACCTAAAACACTTGGTTTGTGGAATATGGAAAGCAATGAAGGTTATTTGGCCCAAGTAAGTTCCAAGGAGGGAGAGAGTCCAAACATTTCGGTCCAAGCCACTCCAAGCCCAAGCACAACAAGGGGAGCTCAAGTCCACAAAGAAAGAAGTCCAAGTGTTGAAAAAGTTCAATTTGGCCCAAGTTTCATTCCAAAGGGGAAGATCCACATGATCCCTTATTGGATCCATTTACATGATTCTCAAAGCCCAAATTTTACATGATTCTCAAGGCCCAAATTTTACACCCTTATTAGTAGACTTAATTAAGATTATTGATTAGTTTTGATCTAATGGAAGTAAGCTTAGATAACTAATAGGGTGGTTAAAGACATAGATCCTAGAATTAGGGAATTATGTCTCTTTTGCATTAAATAGGCATGACCTTGCTTTTTGAATGAATAGCTTGTAATATTTAACTAAGTTTCTTTCATTTTCTTGTATTTGTCAATTACTTGTTTATCCTTGTATTTTGCCTATATAAGGGCAATGGTGTGCTGTCGTAGGCAACCAAGATTAAAAACCTTACTAACCTAACTACTAAACTGTAAATAGGGTAAGCAAAGGTCGATCCCACGAAGAGTGTCTAGCCGAATTTTCGATGATGTGAACAAGGCTGGAGGGTTTTGAGTGAAACAGAAAACAGTCTTAGCAAAAATAAAAAACAATTCAAATCGAAATCAAAAATAACAAAACTTGGTCTCAGACAACATCCGCCATTGGAATCTTACAACTGATCATTGATGCAAAATTAAATCAATCCACACCTGAATATTCACCGTTGGAACTATTTTCCTATCTCTCCTTAATTGTAATTAATCAAGAAACAAGCGATCTTAATTAATCTTACCACTAAACAACCCTAGACAAGCGCTCAAGATTTAATCTAGTGGCAGCCTTAAGAATTAAAGAAATCGATGAAGCTAAACAACACAAACACAAGCGGTTGTATTTAATTTAGTTGAATGTTCTTCTTAAGATTACTAATTCCTGAGCAGCGAATTATTAACCCTAATTGCTTCACAAAGTTAGAGGGATAAACAATTACGGATTTGATATCTAACTTAGCAGTAGATTGCAACAATTAACAAACTAGTAGGCCTCCCTAGTAATTAAACGAAACAATCATAAAATTAGGCATAGAAAAACATCCAATACTCAAACACGGAAATTGAACACTAAGAAAAATAATTAATCTCACAGTTTTGATTCCGAGGCCTCCGTTTCCTTCGACCAAGTTACAAAAGCTTTAGCCGCTCATGGCCATAATCAAAACTCAAAAAGAAAATTGCAGAGAAGAGAAGAGAGAGGCATGGTCCCCTCAAAAACTCTAATCTGATCCCCTTAGCAAAAATCCAGATCAAGTGTTTGAATCCCACTCAATCTCCTAAAAGAAATATTCTAATATCCTAAAATAACATTAATCCTAATTTGATTCTAATTAATTAAAAATAAGATAAAGTCCTAAAATAAAATAGGAAAGTGTGATTCTGAGCGGTAACTTGGTGCACATGTCCTCAAATTTCCAATAATAACCTGCCTAATTGATTGCATGACAAGGCAGAATGCCCAGGACGTCCAGTGCAGATGCATCAACTTCAAGCTCGATTACAACCTTGATGCAGTGAGTATCTCTCAAAACTCAAAACATGAAAGTTGTAGATATATTTCTTAGCGTTCGAAGAAATTTGAATCATCTCGATCGGAGCTCGGATGAGAGAGTTATGCCCAGATTACGAAACAACATCGAAAAATGTCCGAATTCACTTAATTAGTTCCGTTTTGCAATTAACGCTTCCATTTGCATCCTAAATCAAAATAGAATAATAATGAGTACATTTAGGCAACAAATACGTATAAAAGACTAAACATTAAGAGGGGTAACTATGACATTTTGCATTCCCATCAGGAACTATTTATTGTAACATTTAGTCTGAAATATATGAAAATTGGTTTATCCATTTAGAGAACTTGTGTGTTTTTGTATTGTGCATTCTTTACCAAGTCTTGGCAAGGAGATTTGGTGGTGAATCAATTCAAGTTGGTGGAGTAATCCTTTAAGCTTGAGTGTATCTACTTGTCTTGGTTCGGATTTGCAAGTAAGTGTGATTTTGTTTATGTTTTAGTTTGGCCGAAATTCTACTTGGTTTTGGGTAATTGATCTAACATAGCAACGGAAAACAAAAATTCAATTAGTAAATCAAGTACCTTTCTTTGCTATATCCGAGTATAGATTATACCATTTAATGTTTATAAACAAAATCTGTATAAAGTAAATCCATTCAAGAATTAGAATACTTACGTACGTTTGGAGGCTCCTTCGAATATCCTGATTTCGGACAGGAACACTGTTCATAGTACTATTTGTGGTTACTGTTCACGGTTACTATTTACCATCTACTTTTCACGTGATTTTTCGTCAATCGATCCAAAGTAGGATCTCACTCATGGAAATCCACACGAAGATAATCCGCAGAACCCTTGATCATTTTGCTAGAACAATCAAGGGCTTCAAGAATCAAGAAAGAGGAACAAGAAAAGTTTTCTTCTTGAGAGAGAGAAAGATAGGGTGGCTAGGGTTTTAATTGATGAATAATCCCTTAATGTTTTAATTTTAAGTTGCACTTATAGTGCAACAATTAAAACCCTATTCCACTAGAAATAGTCATGGGCTCCAACCCTAGTTCACCCTTGCAACCAAACACAAGCTTTATGGTATTTTAAATAAATAAATTTTATTATAATTAAATCAATTAATATATAATAGTATATTAACTCAATTAATAATAATAATTCATTTAAATATATACATAGATATATTTAAATTTAATCTCACTAATTTAATTTTAAAATTAAATACAGCAACAACCTCGGCAAATTTAATTGCATGTGAGTTACACAAATACCCTTTCGTCCTAAAAGACGAAAATACCCTTTTCACAAATGATTCTTAAATTATCTTCTAAGTGTGTGACCCATAGGCTCCTCATATATCGACAGTGTATAGTATCGCGATTAACACCAATTAATCCTCTCACTGCACACAAACCAAGATTGGCCCCTAGCGAGACATCATGGCCACGATAGATTCGGATTCAGCGAAACCGCAGCCTGGCAACGGTATGGTACCGTGCAATCAATCTTTTCATCAATTGGTATCTATCGGGACTGAGGTACAAAATAGTGTCAATCTCTGATATCCTCGACATGTTGTATTCAATTACTAGAACATGACAAGAATATTAAATTGGATTGAGCATCAACTCAATCCCATTGTGGCCACAGATTAGTGTCATTGTCATCTGAATTACCCAGTGAGATAACTTCTCCCATACCTAGAAGTGATGAATCCTTGTCGATTCACCATAGTTGATACACTTCTCAATGTAGCCAATCACAACTGTATTGAGCTCAAATAGAACTACGTTGGGCTAGTGTCAAACGACACCAACTGGTGCATAAGGCGCTCCGGTGATCTCAAGTCTAAGGATTACATGCACCACCATTGTTAGAAGATTTATTC